TCTCCAAGACCCTCTTTTAATTGCTCTGGGCTGGAGGTGGGTTGTGGGTATTTTTTAACTCCCCTCGAGTGATTCTAATGTGATGCCTGGTTTGAGGAGCATGAGATTAGATGACTTCTGCAGGAACTTTCGGGATCCCTCTCACTTGCCCTTCACCTGCCGATTTGCTCCCATGGTGGCCACATTAATTTCTGCAATAATGAATCGTGCCATCACTATACTTTTTTTTATTGCATTTTAGGTTTTGGGGTACATGTGAAGAACATGCAAGATTGTTGCATAGGTACACACATGGCAGTGTGATTTGCTGCCTTCCCTTCCTTCACCTATATCTGGCATTTCTCCTCGTGCCATCCCCCCCACCCCAACTGTCCCTCCCCTATTTCCCTCCAACAGACCCCAGTGTGTAGTGCTCCCCTCCCTTTGTCCATGTGTTCTCATTGTTCAACACCCACCTATGAGTGAGAACATGCAGTGTTTGATTTTCTGTTCCTGTGTCAGTTTGCTGAGAATGATGGCTTCCAGGTTCATCCATATCCCTACAAAGGACATGAACTCATCGTTTTTGATGGCTGCATAATATTCCTTGGTGTATATGTTCCACATTTTCCCTGTCCAGTTTATCATCGATGGGCATTTTGGTTGGTTCCAGGTCTTTGCTATTATAAACTGTGCTGCAATGAACATTCGTGTGCATGTGTCCTTATAACAGAATGATTTACAATCCTTTGGATATATACCCAGTAATGGGATTGCTGGGTCAAATGGAATTTCTATTTCTAGGTCCTTGAGGAATCGCCACACTGTCTTTCACAATGATTGAACTAATTTACACTCCCACCAACAGTGTAAAAGTGTTCCTATTTCTCCACATCCTCTCCAGCATCTGTTGTCTCCAGATTTTTTAATGATCACCATTCTAACTGGCGTAAGATGGTATCTCAATGTAGTTTTGATACTAACTTTTAAAACAGAAGTCGTTGGCCAGGCAGGGTGGCTCACAGTGTAATCCCAGCACTTTAGGAGGCCAAGGTGGGCGGATCACTTACATGGAGAAACCCCATCTCTACTAAAAATACAAAATTAGCCGGGAATGGTGGCAGTTGCCTGTAATCCCAGCTACTCAGGAGGCTGAGGCAGGAGAATTGCTTGAATCTGGGAGGCGCAGGTTGCAGTGAGCCGAGATCACACTACTGCACTCCAGCCTTGGCGACAAGAGCAAGACTTCGTCTCCAAAAAAAAAAAAAAAACAGAAGTCATGAAAAGATTTTACCAAAGGCTCAACACCCATTTCTTAAGCACTTTCACATATTATAACAGTTTGCAGAGGCAGAAGATTTGTCCTGATTTGAACAGAATAGAGTAAGAAAACAAAAAAAAGTGAAATTGAAAAGAAAGGTTAGAAGGGAAGGATTTCACTTCCTTAATTATATTGTGGCTGAGGTTTGGATTATAGTTCACTTGGTGCTAAGAATGTTAATAAGTAATATCCTAGGCACTGAAAGTGTGGATGTATATGCATATTTACATATGCATATTAACATAAAGGTAAACTATATATTATACAATGATGTTTATATTTATATGATTGTATACAAAGCCCTTCAAACATAAATAGAGAAGACTTTGATCAGAACACAAAGTCCACACTTGACATATTGCATCATGAATGGATAGAAGAACTCTAATGTAGACTCTTACCTGCCATGAAATCTAGGGATAGTCATCCTTTCTGAGCCTTAATCTCCTCATCTTTAATATCGGGGCACTATTACCCAAATCTTAGGGTTTTATGAGACTTCAGTGTGGGAGCCCACACATAGTAGTTGCTCAATAAACATGTTCAATCTAAATGTAGTCACCTACCTTCCTGGTTCCTGAGCACAAGAGAAGGGGTACCTGAAGCCCGCAAGGAAAATCAATTGCCCCAAGCCACACAGTGATCATGTACATGGACCCAGGTTTCCTGACTGCTACTTTCATCCCACTTTCTTCTCTGGGGGTCCTCCTTTCCAAAGCTGACTATGCCCTGCCTCCTTCCAGAATGTGCCAATGGCTCCAGCTCTAATATGAACACCCTAAGTCCAAGACCTTCTGCCAAGAACACACAAGGGAAGCCACAAGCACCTGGCAGTGCCCAACCCAATGTGACACCCATCTCAAGAACACCTGGACTTCCAGGGTCCCTGATCCCCTCCATCCATTTTACTTTATTGCCGAATTGTGGCCCACAGATGCTAAGAATAGGACAAAACACTTTTAAAATATTTTCCCTTAATATTACCATGGGCTTAATTATGTACTAACTACTATCTTATACGTGCTTCCCTGGAAGCAGATCCTGAGATGAGTACTCACATGCAAGTGGTTCATTAAGAAAGTATTTCCAGGAGAAACTGGGAAGGGAGATGAGAAGCAACACAGGAAAGGGGAAGAAGCCAAGAGTGTGATTGCAGGCAAGTTCTGTCCTTGGCCTGAGCTCAAGGGGCACTGAGGAGTGCAAATTACACTCAGAGTTCGCCCAACCTGAGGCAGGGGAGTTGCCATTTCATGCTGCTGCCCCAATTGGTCATTGGGTCCAACATCCCAAGGACTATGCTGTGAAGAAAGTGGCAGGTGCACGCTCTTGGAATGCACATGGGTGTTTGGGGATGAGCACAGGAAGATAGGAAGATCTGGGCAGAACCCCAACAGCATCCTCCATAACCACCAACTCCACAGTAATCAACACTCCTTGTGCTAGCTCAGATCTAGCCCATTTGATTTCCCCAATATCTCAAAATCCAAAAAGCGAAAAACCAGTATCCATAGCCTGAGTACATCCTACAGAAACCATCATCCTATGCACTGGAATTGGCTAATGATGGGATTTAACAAAATTTAACAGAACAAGCTCCTCTTATAGGTTACCTTCTCTTCAAGGACACTTGTTATAGCTCAGTTTGAAAATTCAACAGATACTGTGGTAGGCTCAAGAGACACAAACATGACCGAGAGAGGACCCCAACCCTAGAGGAGCTGACAGTGGTGTGTAATCTCTCAAATTGAGATTTTTGTCTGATTTTTCACTGAATCCTAAAGAATATTCCATTCTCAATAATAGATGCTTCTCCCTTCAACTTTACAGGATCAGCAACAATGCTTTTCAAAACATCACACCATACTGTTACAAAGAAATACTATCTCGCAAGGAATTAACAAAAAGCTAAATAAAACCACAAGAAACTAACACTAACATTATTTCAAATGATAACGATAATGACAGCCATCATGTGTGGGAGACATATAGTCATCAAATTTCTGAATATCTAAGTTACTGCATTAATCCAATAGCCTCCAAATAGAAACCCCAACATCTATTACAATCCAGGTATTACCACAAAAATTTAACTGGTAATTGTGAGAGATATTAAAAGATATACCAGAGTTAGTAGTTCAAATTCACCATCTAAGTGTATTTAGTTTTAACACACTTTATATGAGATGAGACTTCAAAGTAATGAGACTGATAATTAGATGGTCCTTGGAAAAGGAACGTATTAACGTCAGAACTAACACCCAGTCAGAACTTTCAGACCTGAGAAAGTGATGCAACAGTACTACCCAAAGCCACACACACTCTGTCTTATGGAAAGCCTTTTAAAGAAGTAACGAGACTACATGGAGAATGCTACCAACACACAAGACACTGGGCCAAGCATTTTACAGAACTCCTTTAACCTTCACAGTAATTCTATCCATGGGAGATACCCCATTATAACCCCACCTTACAGAGGAGAAATCCAGTGGTTACAGAGATTAAAAACTTGCCCAAGACCACAGAATTATTCAGAGTAGGAAAAAACTCATACTTAAGTCTGTCAGTGCAAAATGCATACTTTTAACACCACATTGTGGTGGCAGTGATTCAAAACCTGCTAACCTGCAATTGAACCATGGGAGTCCAGGAACCTTTATGGCCTTATCCATGTCACACCAGGATCACACTTTCCAAGGCTCTGTCTCTACAACTATGGTTTTAGATTAAGAAAATTTTTCTTCACTATCCTTTTTACACCATTTTCTAAAACAAGCCAAAAGAAAAACTGTAGGAATTCATTATGTTATTAGAAATCAGACAACATTTTAGTTATACAGATTACTTCAATATCACTCTGTATTCTCTAGGCTACCTAGCCCCTCTAGATATCTTTAGCATTTTCCCTCACATGTGGCTAATTCAGTTTATGATTTTCTCTTTAGAAATTACATTCTTCACAGTATTCAAATGATTGAAAATCACTACCTGATGTGACTGACTGCCAGATTTAAGTACATCATTAAAATTTACTTTGCCACATGTTATTGTTAGCAAAGAAAGGTGGGGGGACAGAGAAAAACAGAGTAAGAAATGATGGAAAGAAGTTTTAAAATTACCTCTGCTAAATTTTCTGGAGGTGTTTTTGCTGTCATTTGTTTATAAACACATGCGTTTTTAAAGTATTTCTGATTCTAATACTGTTCCGACAAATAATATTTCTTCATTGATGGATGAATATAAAAGCAATACAAAATCTACTATGATAGATAGCCCCTCTAAATTCCACTATCAAGTGAATACAAAATTCTTATCACTATCATTTAACATAGTAATGTGTGAGAAGTCTCTCTAGCAATATTCCCCAGAAATTACCAAATTAAATAATTCACACACTCATGAAACATCTACCACATACAAAATCCCATATGCACCAATTCTAAATAGTACTGGATCTAGAAATGGAAAGTGACAATAATGTGTCTAGGTTCCACAAAAGGAATGTCAAAGTTGAGTGGGTAGCAGAAGCATTTGCTGAACATAAAAGATAACCATGAAGATAAAATAGAATTAAACTTCAATTTTTAATAAATTAAATGGGGAAATGATCATATATCTAATTAAAAGAGAAAGCCACCAATTGTCAAGACCCATTTCAGGGTCCTAGAAATTTTCAGAATATCCCAAAGAATGTATTTCTTACTTGCTGTCGATGAGCACTTCAGACTGCCGATTATTCACTTGATTATCACTCTTGTGGCGAAACTGAAAAATCAAAGTATTTGTGAGAAAACACATTACAAGGTACTTTGTCAGCCCATAAGCACACTGGCAATACTTCGAGTTCACACATTTTAACAATGTTGTCATTGGTCTAAGATGATACTGTTTGGGCATACTGTGAACCTAGCTCTACATGTTCTAAATCTAAATCAAAACCTTTCTCACTACTTTTCACTCTGGATGTCACCAATGAATCAAGGCTAGCCACATGCTCTTCCAATCTCCAAATATATTTAGTTGCTTCTAAGCAGAGAGTATGCTCTCTCTTGTGCCTTATAGTCCCAGAGAAAACCATGTATTAATCTTGATATCTTTAACAAGGAATGGGGGCTTTCATTTCTCTCCCATATGTACTCAATGCTTTATTAGAACATCATTCTTTCTGTTTTATGGATTTCTTTGAAGTCAAGAAGTTACTTGTAACAACATGAATTTTTATTCTCCAGAAATTCTAATTGTTAACAGTGATCTTATAAAGTACTGAGCATTTAAAACAAAAATTAGAAAACAATACTGAAATACATTTGGTGTACATTTGTGATTTATGTCAAAATTGTTGTATTTCTTATTGCATACTCCAGTAATGTAAGCATCTTATATAGCTTGAAAGAATCTCAATATTGGGAGCTCTCTACTAGGCTCATAAATTAGCAGTCATTCAGGTAAGTCTTTTTATGTGCAATGTCAAGATCAGATAGTAGTAGTAAGCTAAAATAGAAACAAAGGTAATGTAGAGAAAATGGTAATGCCATTAATAATAGGCTATATTAATTATTTCAGCATATTAGCCTACATGCACAGATAAATAGGAGTAGTCTATTGAGGAGATACGAAACTTCTATTGCATAAAATTTAATCATCAGAATGTTTTCTTTTTTTCTTAAATTCAAAATGTTGTGTCGAAATCATGATATATAAAATGCTTCAACCAGCTCTTTTCCTTTTCCTACAGCCTTCCCAAACCCATCCCAGTCTTTCTATTGTGCTATACCCAGTACATACAATTGCTCAGAATGGCAGATGTAAGTTAATAGATATTACCAATAAAAATAAGAAAACAAAGATATTTAGCATTTGTTAGCACTTTACAACTATTTAACGTACTGTAAAAATAGTTTATAATATTGGTAGAGGAGTAAATTAAGTCACACCACTCGTTGACATGCAAACTTCTTCCTACAAGTAGTACAATAAAAATAGAAACATTATTTGATCTGAGTGCATGATTTGGAGGGGTTGCTGAATATTCTGTCCTCCACCGTATCTACATGGCATTACTCTCCACTCTGCCCTGTGCCATGAAAAGCTGGGCTCTGTGGTCCTTGCCTTTTGGCTTCTGGTAAGATCTGGGCAATGCTGGGAAGATGGCCGCCTAAGAACAGCGCAGGACTTCAGCTCCCAGTGAAAGTGCAGAGGGTGAGTGGACCCCGCATTTCCAGACGAACTCTTATTGCCCATAGACCAGGAGATACCCAGGCAGAGGGGTCGCCAGCATCGCAGTACCAGCCGGTGCGGCTGTTTTGGCCCCCGCGGGGCTGATTCCACCCGCACGGCTGCTGTGACCACTCCCTGTTGCTGCGGTTCTCCGTACAAAAGCCACTGGTCTGGGAGCCCTCTTAGCTGGCAAGCAGAGCCCTGAGACGGCAGAGTTCCCCACTCATCTGAAATAGCGAGTCAGGCCAGGAGATTCCTAGGCAAAAAATCCGCCAGGAGCCGGCACCGCAGTTCGAGCCGACTCCGTGAGTCGCAGCACGGGAGATCCCGGCGCCTTTTCAACAAGCGACTGGAACACGGGGTCGTTCAACTTAAAAGAAAAGACTCTGAGTCAGGGAGCCAGGTGATCAGGCTCGGTTGGTCCCACCCCTCCACCCCCAACAACAACGAAAACAAAAACAGTAATTGGAAACCCTCTGGGTTGAGCCCTTCAAACCAAGCACAGCTGAACCGGGACTGTCCAGCTCCGCGGGGGAGGGGCTTCCACCATTACTGAGACTCTCCACCACTAGGGAGGCAGGCTGCCATTGCCAAGGCAACCTGCCACAACAGAGAGAGTCCACCATAACAGAGGCGGGGCCACCATTGCCCAGACAGTTCTAACTACGCCCTTATAAAAAGGACTACAGGGAAGAGCTCAGGGCAGCTGGGTGGAGCCCACAGCAGCTCAGCAAAGCCCCTGAGGGCAGGCAGTGGCTAGGCCTGCTGCTAGCTGGGCGGGTCAGACCTGAAAGAAAAATCAAAAAAGGCAGTAGTGCAACGGAAACTCATAAAGCTCCAACTCCCTGGGACAGAGACAGACAACAGGCGGATAAACCCACAAAAATGGGAAGAAACCAGCGCAAAAAGGATGAAAACTCCCGAAACCAGAACACCTCTCCTCCTAAAAGGGATCACAACTCCTCACCAGCAAGGGAACCAGACTGGATGGAGAAGGAGGGTGATGAAATGACAGAATCAGACTTCAGAAGGTGGGTAGTAAGAAACTACACCGAGCTAAAAGAACATGTTCTAACCGAACGCAAAGAAAAGAGGAACCTTGAAAAAAGATTGGACGAACTGCTGACGAGAATGGACAGCATAGAGAGGAGTATAAGTGAATTGATGGAGCTGAAAAACGCAACACGAGAACTTCGTGAAGCATGCACAAGCTTCAACAGCCGAATTGACCAAGCAGAAGAAAGGATATCAGAGGTCGAAGATCAACTCAATAAAATAAAAAGAGAAGGCAAGAACAGAGAAAAAAGCGCAAAAAGGAATGAACAAAATCTTCAAGAAATTTGGGACTATGTGAAAAGACCTAATCTACGTCTGATAGGTGTACCTGAATGTGATGAAGAGAATGAATCCAAGCTGGAAAATACTCTTCAGGATATTATCCAGGAAAACTTCCCCAACCTAGCAAGGCAGACCAATATTCAAATCCAGGAAATACAGAGAACACCACAAAGATATTCCGCAAGAAGAGCAACCCCAAGGCACATAATCGTCAGATTCACCAGGGTTGAAATGAAAGAGAAAATGCTAAGGGCAGCCAGAGAGAAAGGTCGGGTTACCCATAAAGGGAAGCCCATTAGACTCACAGCAGATCTCTCAGCAGAAACCCTACAAGCCAGAAGAGATTGGGGGCCAATATTCAACATCCTTAAAGAAAAGAACTTTCAACCCAGAATCTCCTATCCAGCCAAACTAAGCTTCATAAGTGAAGGAAAAATAAAATCCTTTGTGAACAAGCAAGCACTCAGAGATTTCATCACCACCAAACCTGCCCTACAAGAACTCCTGAAAGAGGCTCTACACATATAAAGGAACAACCAGTACCAGCCACTCCAAAAACACACCAAATGGTAAAAGAGCATCAACACAATCAAGAATCTGCATCAACTAACCAACAAAACAGCCAGGTAGCATCAAAATGACAGTATCAAATTCACACATAACAATACTATCCCTAAATGTCAATGGACTAAATGCCCCAATCAAAAGACACAGACTGGCAAATTGGATAAAAAGCCAAAACCCATCAGTGTGCTGTATCCAGGAAACCCATCTTACATGCAAGGATACACAAAGGTTCAAAATAAAGGGATGGAGGAAGATCTACCAAGCAAATGGAGAGCAAAAAAAAGGCAGGAGTTGCAATTCTCATCTCTGATAAAATAGACTTTAAAGCAACAAAGATCAAAAGAGACAAAGAAGGACATTACATAATGGTAAAAGGATCACTGCAACAAGAAGAGCTAACGATCCTAAATATATACGCACCCAATACAGGAGCACCCAGATACATAAGGCAAGTTCTTAATGACTTACAAAGAGACTTAGACTCCCACACAATAATAGTGGGAGACTTTAACACCCCATTGTCAATATTAGACAGATCAACCAGACAGAAAATCAACAAGGATATCCAGGCCTGAATACAGACCTGGAACAAGCAAACCTAATAGACATTTACAGAACTCTCCACCCCAAATCCACAGAATATACATTCTTCTCAGCACCACATTACACCTACTCTAAAATTGACCACATAATTGGCAATAAATCACTCCTCAGCAAATGCAAAAGAACAGAAATCATAACAAACAGTCTCTCAGACCACAGTGCAATCGAGTTAGAACTCAGAATGCAGAAACTAACTCAGAACCGCACAGCTTCATGGAAACTGAATAACTTGCTCTTGAAGGTTGACTGGATAAACAATGAAATGAAGGCAGAAATAAAGATGTTCTTCGAAACCAATGAGAATGAAGACACAACATACCAGAATCTCTGGGACACATTTAAAGCAGTCTCTAGAGGAAAATATATAGCAATGAGTGCCCACATGAGAAGAAAGGAGAGATTTAAAATTGACACCCTATCATCAAAATGGAAAGAGCTAGAGGAGCAAGATCAAAAAAACTCAAAACCTAGCAGAAGACAGGAAATATCTAAGATCAGAGCAGAACTGAAGGAAATAGAGACACAAAAAACTCTTCAAAAAATCAATAAATCCAGGAGCTGGTTTTTTGAAAAGATCAACAAAATAGACAGACCACTAGCCAGATTAATAAAAAAGAAAAGAGAGAATAACCAAATTGATGCAATAAAAAACGATAAAGGGGATATCACCACAGATTCCACAGAAATCCAAACCATCATCAGAGATTATTACAAACAACTCTATGCACATAAACTAGTAAACCTGGAAGAAATGGATAAATTCCTGGACACCTGCATCCTCCCAAGCCTAAACCCGGAAGAAGCTGAAACCCTGAATAGACCAATAACATGGTCTGAAGTCGAGGCAGCAATAAAGAGCCTACCACCCAAAAAAGGCCCAGGTCCAGATGGGTTCACAGCTGAATTCTACCAGACATACAAAGAGGAGCTGATACCATTCCTTCTGAAACTATTCCAGACAATCCAAAAAGAGGGAATCCTTCCCAAATCATTTTACGAGACAAACATCATCCTGATACCAAAACCCGGCAGAGACTCAA